TTAATTTTCCTCAGCTTCAGCTTGAACTTGCATATGACTAGTTGGTGGTCTGTTCCACAATCAGCTCCTGGCCTAGTTTTCACAGCTGATATTGAGCTTCTCCAGCGTTTTTTTTCCCACCGATGTAATCGATCTGGTTCCTATGCAACCACACGATCCTATCAATTGATGAAGAAAAGGACTTTGACTAAATCCATCACCCTTTCCTGATTAAAACACTCAACAAAATAGGATTAGAGGGGAATTTTTTCAATGTAGTAAAAAGTATATACATAAATCTGATTGCCAACATTATTTTCAATGCAGAGAGAGTAAAGGCATTCCCTTTGAGAATAGGAACTAGGCAAGGATGCTCACTATCACCTCTCCTATTCAATATTTTATAGGAAGTCTTAGCGATAACAGTAAGTAAAGGAAATAAGAGGTATCCAAATTGGCAAAGAGGAGGTAAAATTATCTCTGTATGCAGATGATCAAGAAAACAACTGGACATAGTTGACCAATTCAGCAAAGTGGCAGGAAACAAGATAAACATACAAAAATCAGTTGGATTTCTCTACAGTGACAAAGAGAAAACAGAACTGGAGTTTAGAAAAACAATACCCTTCACAATTGCTAATCACAAGATTAAATACTTGGGAGTATATGTAATCAGAAGCACAAAAGATCTATTCAAAGAAAATTAAAAACATTACTACAAGAAACAAAAAGACACCTGGAGAAGTGGAAGAATATCCCTTGCTCATGGATAGGAAAATTCAATATTGTGAAAATGACAATACTACTGAAGGCAATTTACATATTCAATGCAATCCCAATACAAATACCAACTCCATTTTTCAATGAGATTGAAAAGGCAATCTCCAATTTCATTTGGAATGGAAAGAGGCCCCTGAATAAGCAAAGCACTCCTTAAAAAGAGAAACAAGGTAGGAAGCATCTCACTCCCTGATTTCAAATCCTACTATACCACCATGGTGGTCAAGACAGCATGGTTTTAATACAATGACACACACATAGATCAATGGAATAAAACTGAGAATCCAGAAATCAGCCCGTCTATCTATGGTCAACTGCTTTTTGACAAGGAGATGAAATCAGTCAAGTGGGGAAATGACAGCCTTTTTAACAAATGACGCTGGCAAAATTGGAAAACTATCTGCAGAAAACTCAAGCAAGATCCACACCTCACTCCATACACAAAAACCAATTCAAAGTAGATCATGGACCTAGGACTAAAACCAAGGACTATGAACTTCATTAAAGAAAAGCTTGGAAGAACCCTAGAAGTCCTAATTCACAACATAAACAGTCTTCCAAGTATCCTGGAAAATCTACAACCAAGAGAGGATAAAATAGATGAATGGGACCTTCTAAGAATCAAATCCTTATGCACATCTAAAAACTTCTCCAACAGGGTAAAAAGGGTAGCTACAGATTGGGGAAAAAATACTTGGTAATGGCATGTCAGACAAGGGATTTATATCTAGAATTTATAAAATACTTGAGCACCACAACAAGATAAAGGCACATAATCCAATTGAAAAATGGGGACAGGATAAGAACAGACACGTCACCAAAGAAGACATTTAGATGGCAAACAAACATATAAAGAAATGTTCAAAATCCCCAGCTCTAAAAGAGATGCAAATCAAAACAACTAGGAGATATTTCACCCCAGTAAGAATAGCAAAATTTAACAGAACAGCAAACATCAAATGCTGGCGAGGTTGCAGAGAAACTAGAACCTTTATTCACTGTTGGTGGGAGTGTAAAATGGTGCAACCACTATGTAAGGCTGTATTGCGTTTTCTCAAAAAGTTGCAAACAGAAATACCATTTGACCGAGCAATTCCACTACTGGGAATTTACCCTAAAGAAACCATAACCGCCACCCAAGCAGATATATGCACATCCATCTTTATTGTGGCTTTGTTCGCAATAACAAAGAGCTGGAAACAACCCAATTGTCTATCAACAAATGAAATGGACAGAGAAGCTCTGATATATTCACACAATGTAATACTATGCAGCATTGAAGAACAAGGAACTCATGAAATATTATGCAAAGTGGATGACCCTAGAGGACACTATGCTGAGTGAAATATCTCAGTCACAAAAAAGACCAATATTGCATAGGGCCATTACTGTAAAACAGGACTGACATCAGGGTTGAGGGAAGACAGAGAAGGAGGGGAGGAATGATGTATATGGCATTGAAAAAGATGAGGGATAGAACTGTTTAAAAGGGATATATAATTGGGTATTACTGTCATGACAGCAGTCCAGAATGAAGACTGCACAGTGGAGTGGACTTGGGGGGAGGGATTGCATAACAATTAAAGAGTTTTACTTTTCAAGGAGAAGAGTGAATTTGGGGGGGGCAGGAGGTGGGTAGGGAAAACAGTGCAACAATAAATGACTGGAAGCCCTAAGTCTCTGTAAACTTTCATTAAAATTCTAAATATTCTATTTTAAATATTCTAGTTTATACATTTTTTCCTCCCCCCAGAAGCAAATAATACCAGTGCAATCTAATGCACCAAGAGAACTTAATGAAAAATTCTAATATTCTAGTAAAATTAATAATTTAAAAAATGCAAAAAAAAAAAGAAAAGAAAAAAGAGAGAGAGGCCAGCCTTGGAGAAGGATATCATGCTTGGAAAGGTGAAAGGTCAGCACAGGCAAGATTCTCAACAAGATGGATTGGCACAGTGACTGTAACAATTGGCTCAAGAATATCAGAGATACTGAGGATGGCACAGGATAGGACCAGGTTCAGATGTATTGTTCATTGGGTTGTTACAAGTTGCAACTGAATGCACATAACAACTACTACCTTTTCCATAAATTTTATATTTCTTTCCTTCTCCCCAAAGTATCATCATGGTTTTATGGTCTTTCACAAACTCAGTTTTTTTCAACTAAATACATTCTTTTTAATGGTCAGATTCTAAGTTAGCCATAGAAAGACACTTTAACCTTTTTATTTCCCCTGTTGCCACAGCCCTCAATATTTTTGAATGGAGCCCTGAAGTTAACACATAGTGTGTTAGCAGATCTCAACATTTAATTCTTGAACAACCAACCATTCAAGATCAAACCAGTAGCATTTATTCAGGGATAAAATTCAGAATGCAGATAGAGGTAGGCTAAAAGGATTAATACAAGTAAGAATCACAGGGAGGAGATAGGATAAGTGCAGTTACAATGTGGTTATTGTAATTAATGTCATAAAAGTGTGTATGAATGGTTAAATGGAAAACCTATTTCCTCTGTCAACTTTCACTCAAACTGCTATTTTTTTAAAGAAAGAAAAGTAACAAGTATTGTTAGCATCAAGTCTATAACTAATCAAATTTACAAGTAAAAATTTTAAGAACAACAAAAAATTATCCTTACCTCATACCACTGTCTAGCTGGCTGGTTTTATTTGTGTTGGCATCCCATAGATAAATGAAACTAGATTTCTCAGCAATCACTGCGAGGATATCTCCATCTTTATCCCAATCCATAGCAACACAATTTCTTTTTAAAAGAGAAAGCAAAACATCAGTACACACTTTTTTAAAAATTGAGAAAAAAGGACCTAAAATACCAATATATTTTTGGGTGTTGTCACTAGCTAGACCAGTAAATAAAATTTTAGTAAGTCACAACCTTTTTAATGTAAGAAATATGACTCATTATTCATCCTCTGGATGTTACCTGGTATTATTTTTGTTATTGTTGATGATATGGAAAGCATTATATATGAAATATCATTTTAATATAATATGTTAAATACAACTAAGCCATGACAAATTAGCAGGTTCTTTTTAATCCAATAAAGAATTGGCCCTTTGGCAAAACAAAATGATCAAGCAATAGGTAACATCTATAATCAAGTGATGAAATGTTATTTTCTATATACAGAAATAATAGAGAAAATATTGGGAAGAACTGAAGCTATACCTAGATAAACTGAGTATAAGGCTGGGTAAATATAGGATTGCAAAAGTTTCAAGACTACATTCTAAAATGGTAAATTGTTGTGTACGATGGAGTTGTAACCAACTCATAGCTGATCCTCCAGCACGTTTTCAGCATCAGTAAATTGCCCAGGAAGAGATCTTTCTCCCATGGAGCAGCTGGTAGATTTGAACTGTGTACCACTGAGTTGGTAGTGCAATCCCTTACTACTCAGCCACCAGAGCTCCCTGAAAAAATGCTATTCTCCTTCCATATCTTCTTGTTGTTGTGTATGCCACAGAGTTGGAACTGACCCATAGCTGACCCTCCGGCAGGTTTTCAGGGACAGTTAATTAATTGCACAGGAGGAGATTGCCTATCCTTCTGCAGAGCAGCTGGTGCCTTCGAACAGCGTACCTCTGGGATTGGAGCGCAGCTCCTTGCCATTAGGCCACCAAAGCTCCCTGTGGAAGTGGTAAAGTTTAATAGGAGAGATAAAAACTCTCATACACTGTTGGAATTATAAAATGGTCCAGCCACTCTGGAAGGCAGTTTGACATGTCCTCAAAAAGTTGAATATAGAAATTCAGAAATTCCATATGGCCTAGGAATATACCTTGAGGAAAATCTTGGAGTTACTGTATCAGGAATATACCTGCTATATCTATCTATCTATCTATCTATCTATCTATCTATCTATCTATCTATCTATCTATCTATCTCATATACTCTTTTGCTATTTAAAACTGTTCGGAAGTATTATTATATTAAAAGTTCCCTAAGAATTGACCTTTTCTTCTTTGATATTACTTTCCATTTCCAAACTCTTTATTCTTGGGTATTTGCTAAATTGTATTTTATTTACCTTTAAGAAAGCTGGGAATTGCTTCTATTATTCTGCTCTTCAAATTACTAAAATCTGTTTTAGGATCTTAATTTTCAATAATACTCTCAGAGATTTGGAATATGGATGAGGGATGCTTTTTCACTGCTGATGGAATGACTGTCCAATTAGACTGAATATATATAACCTCATTTTATTTATCTGCAGATTATCAGTCAAATTCAACTATAATAAATACAGAAAAAGAATTCATATGTAAGGAAATTAAGCTATTATGTAGCCTAGTGTGCAGCATGAACATATCTATACTAGGCATCAGTGAGATGAGATGACATGAGATGAGATGAGATGAGATGGACTCATTGGCCATTCTGAATCAGAGAACCATGTGAAACACTATGCTGGGAATGAAAAATAGAAGAATGGTGTTGCATTCATAGAATTCCTATGTAAGGAAATCAAGCTATTTTGTAACCATATTTGCACCCAAATCTATGTCAGAGATCATGCAATAAAGCTTATATAATTTAATAAAAAAAGTTTTAAGGAGTGCTTCTTTTATTTAAGACACAATTTCAACTACTGTGACTACAGCTTCCCACAATACAGAGAGCAGAGACATCAATTAAAAGAAAAATGCCAAAAGAGTGGTATCAGATGTGTGGGTCATAAAAGGCAGCAGAGACTGAGAAAAAACAATTCACCACTAAGATGCTGGCCATAAACTACAGATAGCAGACAGAATTTTAAAAAGCCCAGCAGCATAAGACCATGAAGCGAGGTGCTTTACACACCTAATCACCAAGAGGAGCAGTTGAATAACACATACTTGAGATGAGTATACTCAATCATTAAAAGAAACTAAATAAAAAATTTTTTAAAAAGCAACTAAATTATTTAATCTAGAATTATTCATTTTGTTAAGTGCTGCAGAGTCATAAACAACACATAGTGACCCTATGAAAGTCGTGTGTGTGTGTGTGTGTGTGTGTGTGTGTGTGTGTGTGCACGCGTACCGTCAAATCGGATCTGACTGGTACAGGAGGAGATTGTCCCTCCTTTTCCCCGCAGAGCATCTGGTGGATTTGAACCGTGCGTCTCTGGGATTGCAGTGCAGCTTCTTGCCACTAGGCCACCAGAGCTCCCCTTGAATGAAAGTCTTGAAAGCAAAACTTTCATTTTTTTTTCCTCCAAGTTCATGAGTTTCTGGAGGCAATGGTTTTTTTGTTTGTTTGTTTTTCGGTGTTCTTCTTCTTTTTTTTTTAAAGTGGATGCTACTCCTGATTCCAAGCTAGTTTTTGTTTGTTGGTGTTTTTTTTTTCCTCAGGGGTATAAAATAATCATTAAGATGTATCTGAAAAATTATAACTACTTTGCAACAACTTACTAGAAAAACAATAGAAGCTTATGGATCTATCTGCATATATATATACATATATATATATAGACAGAAGGAGAGTGGATGCTTTTGAGCTGTGGTGCTGGAGAAGGGTACTGAATGTACCATGGACTGCCAGGAAAACAAACAGATTCATCTTGG